CCTGCCCTCCCGGCACCGCTCAGCCCCGCTGGTTCTCCTTGCAGAACGCCTTCTGGTTCAGCCTGGGCTGCTGCACCTTCTTCCTCATCCCCAGCATCATCTTCGCCGTCAGGCTCACCAAACACTTCCGACCCATCCGCAACCGCCTCATGTGAGGGGCGGGCGGGGATGGGGACACGGGGGACGAGGGGGACAAGAGGATGAGGGGGACATGTGGACAAGGAGGACAAAGGGATGGGGAGGACACTGGGACAAGGAGGAGGACACAGGAAAGAGGGGAGGATAAGGAGATGGGAGGACACAGGGACAAGGAGGACAAAGGGACGGTGAGAGCACAGGGATGGGGTGTGGACACCTCCCTGACCATCCCTCGCGCTTTCTCCATCTCTCCTGCAGCTCCACGGGGTCAGAGGAGACCTGTCCCTTCCACATCCCCCGTGTCACAGCGCTCAAGCTCTAGGACGGGATTCTGCCAGGTGCGGCGCCCCAGGAGCTGCCACAAACCCAACCCCAACACCAAAGCAGCACAAACCCAAAGCACAAACCCGTGCCAAAGCTCTGGGTCCCTCCGGCACCTCTCAGGGCTTTGGATCCCTCTGGCGTCTCTTTCCTTTGGGGTCTGGTGTCCTTCCCGAGCATGGAACACCCGGAGATTTGGGGTCTCTGGGTGGTCCTGGAGCCCGGCTGGAAGGGGAGGCTCCCCCACCCCTCTCACACCCCACAGCGATCCCCCACTCCCAGCACCCTTGGGTGGTGTGGGGCACATTAAAATCCTCTCCTAAAATCTGCCCCTGACTCTTTTGTTCACGCCCTTTGTGTCCCCATTATCCACAGGGAATGGCTCTGAGGGGCTTTGGGGTGAGGGATTTGGGATGAGAGGAGCCCATGGCTGAGGGGCCTTGGAGCTGAGGGGACCCCATGGCTTTGGATTTGAAGGAGTTTAGGGGAACGTCAGGGTTGAGGTTATGGCTGAAGGGGCTCCAGGACTGAGGGGGGCTCTGGGGCTGGGATTGTGGCCAAGGGGGTGACACAGCCATGATGGTTCAGGGTCAGGCCTGAGGTGGCTCCAGGACTGAGGGGGTGACACGGCCATGATGGTTCAGGGTCAGGCCTGAGGTGGCTCCAGGGCCAAGGGGGTGACACGGCCATGATGGTTCAGGGCCAGGCCTGAGGTGGCTCCAGGACTGAGGGGGTGACACAGCCATGATGCTTCAGGGCCAAAGGGGACCCTGGGACCGAGGGAGTGACACGGCCATGAGGGCTGAAGCACCAGGCCTAAGATGGCTCCAGGGCTGAGGGGGTGACAGGGCCAGGCTTGAGGTGGCTCCATGGCCAAAGGGAACCCTGGGGCTGAGGGAGTGACACTGCCATGAGGGTCCAGGACCAGACCTGAGGTCCAAGGAAGCTCAGCTCTTTATCTCCCAATTTGTGATTTTTTTTTGGTGTGAAATTCCTGTTTTTCATCCAGATCCTTCACCCCCTGGTTTGCAGGGCTTTGTCCAAGCAGCAAATTATTCACAGAATCCATCCAGGGGTTTGCAGATCCACCAAACGAGGGTTTCCCTCCCCATAAACGCTCTCTGTCTGCCAGCTGAGAGAGAAATGCCCCATTTTAATACATTATTTATAAGGTTTTTTTATTTTATGATAGTCTTTTCCTACCCACAGCCAGCAGCAGTAAAACACCTGGTTCATGCATTATTTAGGTTATTGCTGCCCGGGGTTTTCAGCAGTCCCTCAGCCTGCAGAGGTCAGCATTGCAAAGGATTTTTCCAAAGGGATTTAGAATGAAAACCCCAAAAGGATTTCTGCAGGAGTCCCCCTACAGAGGGATGTCCTCTGCCCACATGGAAACCACCTGATGGCACCAAAAATCAGCGTTAAAATGGAGGATTTTGGGGTCAGAGGGGGTTATGGTGGGGAAGGGTGTGTGTGGAAAATGTTCTTACCTGGGGTTCAGCCAGGAAACAAAAAGCTCCCAGCTGGATCCAATTGAAGACCTAAAGTCACAAAATTCTGAGATAATTAAAAGAAGAGGTTCTCCTTATTTAAAAAAATTATATATTTAAAATAAATTATTATAATAAATTAATTTCATAATAATTTTGATAATTTTATTTTAAAATTTTATTATATATCTTTTTATAATTTTATTTTATTTCTATTTTAAAATTTATTTTATAAATTTATTTATGAGAAGTAATTTTTTTATTTATTATTTTTAGTTTATTTATTACTCCACAGCAGTGCTGTATTTTAAATACTGTAATCCCCGCTTGGTGGTGCAAGAGAGCAAAAAGGGATTATGGACTTGAAATGTTAAATAGCATAAAAGCAATAATATTTACTGAGTCCATTCACTGATTAAATAAATCACAGAGACAAACCTGGGGTTGTTTAGGCTGGAAAAGACCTTTGAGGTCATCAAATGCAGTGGGTTGGCAAACAAATGAGATTAATTCAGCTGCATCTTCTTCCTGAGGTTGTTTCTCATAGCTGGGCCACTCTAAATTACAGATAAATAATGACTGGCAGAGGGATTCACCCCGACATAAATGTTTGTTATAAATCCATGAATATCCCCGTTCCTTTTGTGGGATGTGGATGGATTAAAAATGGGAGGATCTTTGAGTTAATGGTAAATCCCCCAGGAATAATCCAGAAAATTGTCCTGAACCAACTGGACTCTGCTTACTAGGGGAAAAATAAAAATAAGGATGAGCTGGATAATGATTCCTCACCTCAAGCAGAGCCAGGGTTTATGATTAACCTGCAGCCCCAGATTTATGATTAACCTGCAGCCCCACCCTCACAGAGGCACCTTGTCTCCTCTTTATTACTTCCATTGATAAATTAAAGACTGAAATCAGCTCATTTCCAGGTGCTAAACGGATTTTAAAAATGATTTTGTGTCTCCTCTGTCAGAGGGGTTTGGGTTTTTTCCTATCTCAGTTTGGACCTGTGTTCTTTGAAGTTCTTTTTCCTGTCTCACCTTATAAGGATCTGTGTTCTCTGAGGTGTGTTTTCCTCTATCTCACTTTATCTAGATCTGTGTTCTTTGAATTTTTTCCCCTCTATCTCAATTTATCTGTATCTGTGTTCTTTGAGTTGTGTTTTTTTCTCTATCTCACTTTATCTGTATCTGAATTTTTTTTCTCTATCTCACTTAATCTGGATCTGTTTTCTCTCAGGTGTTTTTCCCTCTATCTCACTTTATCTGTATCTGTGTTCTCTGAGTTGTTTTTCCCTCTATCTCATTTTATCTGGATCTGTATTCTTTGAATTTTTTTTAATCTCACTTTATCTGAATCTGTTTTCTCTCAGGTGTTTTTCCCTCTGTCTCAGTTTATCTGGACCTGTATTCTTGGATTTTTTTCCCTCTATCCCATTTTATTTGTATCTGTGTTCTTTACTTTCTAAACGCCTAATTAACTGGTGTTGATTAAACCATTTCCCTTCCCCCTTGGCATTCAGCCCCTCACCTCTCTCCCGCTGTCCCTGCTTCCCTGGGAATTGTCAATAATCCATAAATAATCAATAATTAATTAATTCACAGGGCTGCAGCTCCGTCAGCTCTGCTCAGCCCAGCTGCTGCTGCCCAGCTCCTATTTCAGGCCACAAATTGTTCATAAATTTCCTATTTCAGGACAGAAATTGTTTATAAATTCCCTATTTCAGGACAGAAATTGTTTATAAATTCCCTATTTCAGGACAGAAATTGTTCTTCTCTATTCCCGGAACGGAGGAGAAATGCAGGAAAAGTCCAGCCAGGATCGGCTCATTCCTGCCATTGTAGCAGCATTCAATTCCCCCATTCTTACTCCATTTCCCCCCATTTTTCTCTCTGTTTTTCTGAACACCAACCTCCTTTTCTTCTCCACAAAAAGCACCCGTGACCTCTTCCATCCGTTTTTCTCATCATCCCCTAAAAACAGCTCGGGAAGCTGAGACACAGAGCAGCTGCCCTGGGGGATTGTTCAGAATTTCATCCCCAT